CCAACCACCCAGATGACAGGTGTCACATGCCACCAACCACCCAGATGACAGGTGTCATATGACACCAACCACCCAGATGACAGGTTTCATATGACACCAACCACCCAGATGACAGGTGTCATATGCCACCAACCTCCCAGACGACAGGTGTCATATGCCACCAACAACACAGACGCCAGGTGTCATAAGCCATTCCTTGGGGTGCCATTAATTTATATTGTGATACTTGACACTTTTCCTTTACCAATTGTTTAATTGTTTAACAAACCATAATAATAAATTGTTTAATAAACCATAAAAGTTTTTCTCTCGTGGTTTCCTATTTCTTCTTTCGTATAATTCCTTAACACCTTAGAAATAATAATAATAATAATAATAATAATAATAATAATAATAATAATAATAATAAAATCAATTTTTTGTATTTTGGATTCATGCTTAACATCAGATTATTTCAGAGACGAAACTGTTTTCCTATAATTACTCTGGACACGATGAAGTTAACTTCTACGGGGGCAAGGAGCTGGGATATGAGGACAAGGAGCTGGGATATGAGGACAAGGAGCTGGGATATGAGGACAAGGAGCTGGGATATGAGGACAAGGAGCTGGGATATGAGGACAAGGAGCTGGGATATGAGGACAAGGAGCTGGGATATGAGGACAAGGAGCTGGGATATGAGGACAAGGAGCTGGGATATGAGGACAAGGAGCTGGGGTATGAGGACAAGGAGCTGGGATATGAGGCCAAGGAGCTGGGGTATAAGGACAAGGTGCTGGGATATGAGGACAAGGAGCTGAGGTATGAGGACAAGGAGCTGGGATATGAGGACAAGGAGCTGGGATATGAGGACAAGGAGCTGGGATATGAGGACAAGGAGCTGGGATATGAGGACAAGGAGCTGGGGTATGAGGACAAGGAGCTGGGATATGAGGACAAGGAGCTGGAATCTGAGGACAAGGAGCTGGGATATGAGGACAAGGAGCTGGGTATGAGGACAAGGAGCTGGGGTATGAGGACAAAGAGCTGGGATGCGAAGACAACATGCTGGGATACGAGGACGGAGAGAAGGAACAACGCCCGACCCCTTGGGCCAACTGGGATCGAACCCCGGCCTGTAAGAACGGAATTAACCGCTGTACCGACCAATTCAAGCAGAACTAAAAAAAAAAAAAAGAGATTAATGAAAATCTACCCAGCAGCCCCTATGAATAATGCTGCAACTGCAAATATACTTACATGCTAAGGGCAGCATCATCACCTACTGAAGGGGAATATATGGGCTTAACACCTTCCAGCATTACACATAAATGAAGTCCACCACAGAAAAAGAAAACGGAAATATGATTACGTGAAGTTGCAGCCTGCTCTCGCACAAGACAGCACATGATTACGTGAAGTTGCAGCCTGCTCTTGCACAAGACAGCACATATATGACTTATTGCTTATAGTCACTATTTTGCTTATACATAAGTACATATGTGACATATTCCAAGCCATATTGTTGGGTTGGAAGCCAACATAGGGGAAGCTGGCTGACTAATCTAATTTGAGATTTCACAGACACTTTGTGATATTCGTATTTGGTTAAGACACCAAGTTTATATATAAATCATTTTGGAAGGCGGCCGATGGTAAAAACGTACAATCAGAGCAACAAATATCCAGTAAATGGTTGGATAATGACACACAAAATAGGTACTTAAGTTCAATAATGAAGACAAGGTCAGAGGTCAAGACTTCTGGGATGTTCTCGGACGCAGGTTCGAATCCTCGTCACGGCCCTTGTGGATTTGTTCAGAGGTCAAGTTCTATGACCTATAAGCGCTACAGGAGAGGCTGGTAGAGAGGTCACAGGTCCAGAACTACAAGATCTGTAAGCAATCTGTCCTCTTACCAAGAACGCCGCATTTTGCTCGTATGCGTTTCATAAGGCCAAAAATTCTCGTACTAGAACATGGAAGCGGCTGACGAAAGTGACGTACTGTCCCGTTTTCTGTTTTGGGTCCTCTGGTAGGTTAGGAGAGACCACTTTAAACTGACCGTTTTCTTGACGTGAAACCTTAGAAGCACGGGGTGCTACGAGAGGCCAGTACAGAGGTTAGAGGTCCTACAAGCTCTACAAGAGGTTGGTACAGAGGCCACTAGACTTCACCTGTATATAGAGTAGAGGCGCGCGACAATAGAGGTCCCCAAGGAAGCTTGTAAGATAAACTTCGGTAAAAGTGAGACGTGCCAGAGACCAGGCAAGAGCGGCCATGTTTGAGCCCCAGGAGCAGTGGGGTCTAAAACCTGTACCAGCATGAAACCTGCGACGTCATAGTGACGTCACACACACCTCCTACACGTCACACATTCTCACCTCGTGCACGTCATAGTGACGTCACATAACGTGCACCCCAAGTAGAAAACACAATATTTTAAGACTTATTTTCGTTAGGTTGGGATAGGTTAGGTTAGCTTGGGTCAGGTTAGGTGTGTTTAAAAGGTCGTGATGACGTAAAAGGGTACAGACTTTTCTCAGGTTTTAGACCCCTATTGATAACATATGCTGGGGGGAGGTCGAACCTGGGGCCAGATTCACGAAAGCACTTACGCAAGCACTTACGAACGTGTACATCTTTCCTGAATCTTTGACGGCTATGGTTACATTTATTAAACAGTTTACAAGCATGAAAACTTCCCATTCAACTGTTATTGTTATAAACAGCCTCCTGCTGGTGCTTGGGAGCTCATTAACTGTTTAATAATTGTAAACAAAGTCGCCAAAGATTGAGAAAAGATGTACAGGTTCGTAAGTGCTTGCGTAAGTGCTTTCGTGAATCTGGCTCCAGGTCTTGTTGATGGCCCATACGTAGCAGCTTCTATTGATGTCATTATCCTAATGACAATATTTGCCTCGTAAACCTCTACCACTTTATACGAGATCAATTAAACTCGATACAACGTAAACAAACCATTACAAATATTAACGCTACATTTTGTATTAACTTGTATTAAAGCCGATTAGAAAATATTCCAATTTAAAATGGGAGACCTCACACATAACAACATTAGGTGTATACTGACGAACATCAAGGGCATCAATAATGGATCAGATCCGTCCATCAATAATGGTTTAATTACCACGTGTTAATGACCGTACCTGTTTGCCTAAGTACCTGTGTATTTGATCCTAATGGAATGTCTTAAGTTGAGTCGTCTTGAATTCATTTTCTTTGGTTTCAAGGCGAGTTTACTCAACAAGTTCTGACTTGCCAACATATTGATATTACTAAGATGTTGCAACATATTACATATAGCAACATATTACTAAGCCAGATGTATCTCAAACAACCAGTAACTAAGCCAGTTGTTCATTGTACAACCAGTTATTAAGCTAATTAGGCCTCATACAACCAGTCACTAAGCCAGTTGTTCATTGTACCAGCCAGTTACTAAGCCAGCTGTTCCCAATACAAGCCAGTTAATGCCAGCTCTTCCTCATATCAACCAGTTAATAAACCAATAGTTAATAAGCCAGTTAATAAGCTGGCTAACCAATTTGTTGTTTAGCCACCTGCCTCTCTAACCAATCTATTCAAAAGTCATCCTGTTACCATGGTACCTGCGGTCATAACACCCTGTTAACCTAACCTAACCTAAGCTGTCCGCACCTTTAAACCCTTCGCTCTTCAATCCAATCTTTTTACTGATTCAATTTTTCCCTCCAATCAAAACCGTTCCATTCAAACGACGGTGTAACGATAGTCAACACCCCCCCCCCCACAATCCCATTCCCAGTCACGCCATTAACTGTGCCCAGAAACTGCTAATGGTCTGTGCCGCACAATTTCTCCCCGTTGGCTACTGGTTTTCGAACGTGGCCAGAAAAGAAAAAACACCGATTATACATGTACATATTTTTGGTTTGGAGAGAATGACTGATGAGAAAGTTTACTGCAGGACCTGGAGGCTTGGACATACTGGAAGGTGGTGTGGACATGCTGGAAGGTGGTGTGGACATGCTGGAAGGTGGTGTGGACATGCTGGAAGGTGGTGTGGACATGCTGGAAGGTGGTGTTGACATGCTGGAAGTGTGAAAAGTCCAGGCGTGTGTATGTGTGGAAGGGTTTAGGTGTGTGTGAGTGGGGGGGTTGGGGGAAGGGTCCAGGTGTGTATACATCTCCTGGTCATTCTCAGTCAACTTACAACAGTCTCTGAGTTATCCACTCACATAAGAACAGCCACACAAGACTGCAACAAGTGATTAAATCACTATTAAAACCTAACATAGAAACTAACAAAGATACATTACAAACCAGTTTATAATACAAAACATTTATACAACATCAAAATATTTTGTACAAGTATTCAATGTGTATATTATATATATATATATATATATATATATATATATATATATATATATATATATATATATATATATATATATATATATATATATATATATATATTACGGGACAAGAACTATTTATATAAAAAAAAAATATGTGCGCAGTTTGGCGCTTAGAAGCTAACAAAACAATGTATGTTTTGGTGGCTTCAACATTAACCCCAATTATTTAAAGATATGTTTCTCTTGGCCTCGTCTGGAGGGGACATAAACTGGCGCCGCCAAACCATCTGGAGGACCACACCGGCTCTTTCTGGCCGTTTTACGACCATGAGGTATTTAGGTGGACCAAAATGCAGCTGTCGGTGGAGGGCGGTCGGTGGAGGGCGGTCGGTGGAGGGGACGTCGGCCGGCTCGTATAAAAGTGTTCGTAGACGAACGCTCCGGATTACTGGATAGGTGAACCTGTGTGCGTTCTTGTGCCATCCGTAGACCTTGCCCGTCTCGCTCGCTGCTGTTGTTGTAGTCTACACTATGGCTCTCAAGGGTAGGTGCCCCGTGTACTGTAGGCAAGATGGCTGCTGTAGACTATGGATTGTAGTGTATGTAGCCACTATGGCTTACCTTGAGAGGTACGTGTGTCTGGTACTTGGTAGTCGTAGAGATGGTGGCAGCTCACCAGTGTTTAACCCTTGAACTGTTCGCAGGTACACTCATGTTCTTGGTCACTGTGGCGTTCCTCGGCGCTCTATGTGCTCACGGGGCCGCGGCAGAGGAAGAGGAGACACAGCAGGAGCAGCAGGAGCAGCTGAAGCAAGAGCAGCAGAAACAGGAGCAGCAGAAGCAGGAGCAGCAGAAACAGGAGCAGCAAAAGCAGGGGCAGCAGGAGCAGGAGCAGCAGCAGGAGCAGCAGGAGAGACATAAGCTACCGAGCGCCAAGGAGGTGGCGAGGCTGATCTTCACCTCGACGGAGCAGTTCATCAGCTTGAGTGACAGCAGCTCCCTGGCCATGACCCTGCTGCTGCTACTGCTCCTGGGCGCCGCTACGGGCCTGGCCATCTCCGGCGCCCTGGGCCACAACAGCGTCCTCCTCAACCGCGTCCTGGCCCCACTGTGAGTAAATCTGAAATTTAAGATTTAAGACGTCTTCTCCCGTTCTTACATGTCCAACCACTTTGGTCGGACGGTAGAGCGACGGTCTCGCTTCTTGCAGGTCGGCGTTCAATCCCCGACCGTCCAAGTGGTTAGGCACCATTCCTTTCCCTCCGTCCCATCCCAAATCCTTATCCTGACCCCTTCCCAGTGATATATAGTTGTAATGGCTTGGCGCTTTCCCCCTGATAGTTCCCTTCCCTTCCCGTTCTCACAACGCACAGAAAATGATGTACTAGATTGGCCTAACTTAACCTAACCCAGGCGATGAACCCACGCATAGAAAACGCGAATGTTTATGAGGCGCTACAGTAGTACATCATATTCTGTCCGTTGGTGATCTTATATATATATATATATTATATATTATATATTATATATATATATTATATATTATATATTATATATATATATATTATATATATAAATATATATATATATATATATATATATATATATATATATATATATATATATATATATATATATATATATATATATATGTGTGTACGATCAGATTCATATGTCGAATTATATTTGGGATTTTGTATTTCTATTATTCTTAGCTGTGGGGATGATATTGTTGGCTGTGTTGGTACTGTGTTACCTGTGTGGGTACTGTGTTACCTGTGTGGGTACTGTGTTACCTGTGTGGGTACTGTGTTACCTGTGTGGGTACTGTGTTACCTGTGTGGGTGCTGTGTTACCTGTGTGGGTACTGTGTTACCTGTGTGGGTACTGTGTTACCTGTGTGGGTACTGTGTTACCTGTGTGGGTACTGTGTTACCTGTGTGGGTACTGTGTTACCTGTGTGGGTACTGTGTTACCTGTGTGGGTACTGTGTTACCTGTGTGGGTACTGTGTTACCTGTGTGGGTACTGTGTTACCTGTGGGGGATAAGGTAGATTAAAGCAGCGTCTGGTCATCCTGGTACAGGGCGAGTGTGGGCTCCGCCGTCCCCAGTTACCTGCAGAAGCTGGAACATGTCTACCACTCCTTGGAAGACGCTGCCAAGAAGTACGAGTAGAGGCATCACCCCCTCCTAGAGCACTAGAGGCATCACCCTCTCTTACAGTTTTACAGCACAAGAGGCATCACCCCCTTCTACACCACCAGAGTCATCACCCCCCCCCCCCACCCTCTCACAGCACAAGAGGCATTGTGCTATAAGACACAATGAATTTGTAAATTTGTAAAGAATTGTAAAGAATTTGTAATCTAGATTACAAACTCTTGAAGCAATCCTCATAAAAGCCGAACAACCTACCATAAATACCCAAACTATGGAACTACTTACTCTAGAAAATGAAGGGACGACGACGTTTCGGTCCGTCCTGGACCATTCTCAAGTCGATTGTCTTGAGAATGGTCTAGGAAGGACCGAAACGTCGCCGTCCCTTCATTTTCTAGTGTGTGGTCTGGTCAACATATTTCAGCCACGTTATTGTGACTCATCATCTACTTACTCTACCCACCAAGCAACACAGAAATCATCGATAGATACAGCGATAGCAGGAGACTCGACATCAGCGAGGCCCAACACATCAAAAAGTCAACACCAGCAATCAACAGCCAATTAACACATAACTATATTCTAACCACTTCAAGACCCTGAACCAACATAGAAGCAGCAAGAGAAAATATGGGCCAATAGGCCTTCTGTAGTTACTTTCATTCCTATGTTCTCATCTGCAATATATACCCATTGATTCGTGTTCTGTCACCTCACCCAAAAACATTTGTGCCATATCACCTCACCCAAAACGAATAAAGGATTAATTGATATGTGTAAACCTGTCTTTGAAAATGTAAGAAGTCCTTGCGAAACGCTTTTAGGCGTCAGACCATAAAATAAAAAATGAGAAAATAAACTTTGGAGAGTTAATTTTTCAATTACCCCCGACAGTGAAGAAAAACGTAAGAAATATTGAGAAGATTCGTGTTAGAATCATTAATCATACCCTTTCGGTCATATTCAACAACATATGTTTACAAGAAAGACTGATACCAAATAAGATTTATCACATTCTTACCAAGAATAATAAAGATAATGGGCCCCTTTAAGGGGCTTCCTAAGGAGCGATCTTCTATCCTTGGTTCTTTAATTGACTTATGCAAAGATTGCAGTTATATATCTTTTTCTTATACGCATTATAACCGAAGGATAGGGGTAGTCTCTCAAAGACGTCATCAAGGGCTGAACAGGCAGCCCGTCCTCCTAAGGTTTCCCAACGTCAAGAAACTGTCGTGCTAAAGTACCTTTATCCTAACCTACCAGAGGACCCAAAACAGAAAACGGGACGTCAATTTCGTCAGCCGCTACCATTTTCTAGTACGACGATTTTTGGCCTTAAGTAGAGCATACGTCAAAATGCGTCGTTCTATTAAGATGACGGGCTGGAACGGAACACTACTTGTTCCCTGTTGAAATCCCCAACGTGAGAACAAAACAATTCCCGGCCTTTCTAGTTAGTTTTTATTTTAATTTTTCAGGTTGGAGTTAGTTTCCATAGGTTTGGTTACATAAAGTCCGAGCAAGCTATATCAGACAAAAATTAGGACCTATGTATAAAGATAACAAGGGCTATTTACACCGAGATGTATTCCCAATTTATCGGTGCATATATGCTGAGTTTAATTTAGTCCTGGACAGTGTTAAGCTAGTTTCACGGCCTTAATAACATGCAGCTGTCAGTCCAGCCCAACAGCAAGTCCAGCCCAGCCCAACAGCAAGTCCAGTCCAGCCCAACAGGAAGCCAGAGAAAACATTAATCCAGATAGGACCAATTATTCTTGCTAATGAGGAGCTGATCTAAGACGCTTATATAATTTCGAAGATAATGCATAAGGATATAAATTAAAATACAGAAGTGATTTCCGCCTTTACAACAGTTAACCCCATTTCTGTGTGTCGCTGTAATCATTACTGACCCACATACAGTCACTGTAGTAAGGACAGTCATATTGTTCTCACAAAGAGTGCTACAGAAATATTTACAGAGTAATGTCTCACAATGAACAACAGCTCATATAGTGGAGAAAACCCATCAGGGCTGTGAGGTGGGCTCGAATCTATGACCTCGACATTACCAGCTGCTTACTCTACCACTGATGGTGGTACTGTGGTACAGTATGCGGCTGGCAATGCCTTGGTCCAGGGTTCGCGCCCACCTCACAGCCCTGGTGGGTTTTCTCACTGGTATATATCACGCTAGTATGTCATTGTGGAATTCCTATAGTGTTCTCACAATTGATATCCGGATCTTACGATTACTTGCCATTCTCATCAACAACACCTAAATACACCCACCACGAATTGTGTTATCTTGCAGCCTCCTGTGAAGACACCACACACACACACATAACTCTCAATATGAAGCATTGACGTGTTGGTCCGCCTTGGACTATTATCAAATGTTTCCATTACGACAGCTACTCGAAGCGGCCACATTTAACTATTAACAGTGGCCACATTCAACTACTCGTAGCGGTCATATCCAACTGCAGGTCATGGTATGAGGGTTGCTCAAAGCGGCCACATTCAACTGCTCAAGGCGGCCACATTCAACTGTTCATAGCGGCTACAGAAGCCGTAATCCAAGACAATGTGAGTGAGATGTGATGTGTGCAGTGCTGTAAGAGATGGTGGAGACCCGTAAAGCTCCCCGTAGCGTCTAGTCTGTCTTGCTGCAGATGATGAAGAGTCCAATAGGCAGGTTTTGCCACGCTATTTATCTGTTGTGGTGCTTGGGCGTCTTGTTGTTGTCCTGTGCTGCTGTGGTGTCTTCCAGAACAAGCAGGAGCGTTTTACTGGTACTTGATGGTGGCATTTTCAAGGGCACGGTACCCATAGTGGAGCGCGTTCGTGTAGGCGGGTCGCTGGTAGGGTCTGCAGGAGAAGGGAGCAGTAGGAGTCAAATTAGTCATGTCTTGTGTGGTCGGGTAAGCAGAGGACACTAATGTGAGGATTTATGACTCCTGGTGTATACATTTATAGCCAGTTTACACCTAACTAAATAGGCTTTGTCAAATCACAGAAGAATGATCAAGTAATATACAAGTCCTACTTATAAACTTGAGTATGACGGACAGACAAGCGAAGAGGACAGGCGGAAGACGGGTAGACAGGCAAAGCACATGCAATGGGGACGTAGCAAGTGACCAGCCTCTCTGAAGGGAAAATATATGACTCCAAGATGGTTCTCAGGGAGTGCAGGAGATGACTGCCTCAGATACTCACGTGGACGGATAGTGGCCGCCATATCCCTCGTTAACTCTGTCATGTGCGAAGGCCACCACGAGGACGCAGAGAGCCACCAGCAGGAAAAGGACGGCGGTTTGTCCCACCTTCAGGGAGTACCTCTGATCCCCGATGTTAAAATACCACAAGTCGCTGTCGAAGTGGTCAGGCCTGTGGTCCATGTGCCCATGGTGGTGGTGAATGTAATGGCCACCATGATGGTGGTCCTGGACGTGGATCTGGTCATGGTGGTGGTCCTGGAGGTGGATCTGGTCATGGTGGTCGAGGGGGGCCTTCGCAGCTGTATGATGGCGCTGCTCATCCTTCTTTTGCTCCCGATCCTGTTCCACTTGCGGCTGCGAAGTCGGTTCCAGCTGGGGCTGCGAAGTCGTCTCAAGCTGTGAAGTCGGCTCACCCTGCGGGTTCGGAGCCAGCGTCTTAGGCTGCTGCTGTTCCTCCAACTTCGTCTCGCCCTGGCAGCCGGCGAATAAGACTAAGACCCCAACCACCGCGACTGTCATTTGTCCTGCAGAATAAAAGGTAATTGAATGCCACAACCAGACACTGTTGTAGTGATAATTAACTGTGACGAATTAGTCCCGAGGCTGCACCTGACATCCGTCAGCTTAAAGAAATATATTATAGGTGGTACCCACATGAAGCGTGGGAGGTACCAAGCGGGTACCCACATGTAGCGCGGGAGGTACCAAGCGGGTACCCACATGTAGCGTGGGAGGTAACAAGCAAGTACCCACATGTAGCGTGGGAGGTACCAAGCGGGTACCCACATGTAGCGTGGGAGGTAACAAGCAGGTACCCACATGTAGCGTGGGAGGTAACAAGCGGGTACCCACATGTAGCATGGAATATACCAAGCGGGTACCCACATGTAGCATGGAATATACCAAGCGGGTACCCACATGTAGCATGGAATATACCAAGCGGGTACCCACATGTAGCATGGAATATACCAAGCGGGTACCCACATGTAGCATGGAATATACCAAGCGGGTACCCACATGTAGCATGGAAGATACCAAGCGGATACCAACAATTCATGTTAGCCGTTCCTGCTCGGATCAAGACAGGAACAGCAGTCCCGTGAACAACAGACTAATGTCAAATGTGTCATAATTAAACAAAAATGATATACCCGGAAAAGCGTCTCGCTGATAAGCAACAATATAAAAAAAATCCCCGAATTTCCAGCCACCTGGGCTGGACGGAACAGTGGCGGCCTCGTTTCTTGCAATTCGGCGTTCGATCCCCGATCAACCCATGTGCTGTACACTGTTCCTTCACTCTGTCCTCATATCCCAGCTCCTTGTCATTTGCACTTTTCCCTCATCAGTTCTTTCCTTCCTTCATGTTTATGTTCTAATGATTTCACCCTGAGTCCTAGAGGAATGAACGGAAGAACTCAGCTATCCTCTCTTTTTCCGGATAATGCTCTCATTATCTTTCCATCTTGCAGTACGTAATGACCACATAGCCATAGGGAGAGACTCACCCTGGAGGCCCATGGCTGAGAGAGTGTTCCAGCCTGCCAATCCTACTCATGCACTAGACGTCCAGGAAAGCACTGCAGTTTCCAGGACGGCTGACTGGCTTCAACTGGAGTCCAGCACAGTTACCTGGCGTCATAATGGTTGCTGCAATTGTCTGAATATCCAAAAATAGCGTGACTTAAAGACGTCAGCGGCCGCAAACATTTCCAAGAAGATTCATAATTCTGAATTACTGCAATTTCAGGAAGAAAATTTTGGTGTGGGTTTTTTTTTAAGGAATTGTTGATGCTTGAACTTGTATCACGACACCTCCGCGACCACCACGACGCCTCCACCACCACGACGCCTCCACCACCACGACGCCTCCACCACCACCACGACGCCACCACCACGACGCCTCCACCACCACGACGCCTCCACCACCACCACGACGCCTCCACTCCAACGACCACGACGCCTCCACCACCACGACGCCTCCACCACCACGACGCCTCCACACCACCACCACCACTTGACACATGGGTGAAAATAGAGCCAAATGACAAAAGCGTAAATAAATAAATCTCTAAATTCATACAATGTTACAAAAAATACAACAACCACAAATTTATACGTAACTTAGCGAAAGTACGCTACACTACACTTTGTTCATTTCGCTAATTTGTTCATTAGCGAAAGTACATACCATTAAAAAATGCATTTATTCCCGGAGAACAGATGGCGGAGCTCAACTGGTGAACTCCTATTAGAATTAGAATTAGAATTAATTCTGAACAATGACGGAAGAAACATATATAGGCGATTTTAAGACGAAAAACAAAGAAACTAAGGGAGGTCTTAGGACGAAAAACAAAGAAACTAAGAGAGGTCTTAGGACGAAAAATATATAAAAAGTGGAGGATATTTTAAAGGGAGGAACGCTGAGCTGACGACACGATATAAGCGCGCGAAAATGTGTCACAGAAAACGGGTCTCAAAAATGTAAAGTTACATCGGTGGTTAAATGTTGCTAATGTACACGAAATACCGCAACGAGGAGTGGTCTGGGCGCTGGTGTAGTTACTCTCTGTCTCTCTATATGTTGCTCTGACAGCTGGGTGGACAGCGCTTCGGATTCGTAGTCCTGAGGTCCCGGGTTCGATCCCCGGTGGAGGCGGAGACAAATGGGCAAAATGTTTCTTTCACCCTTATGCCGTTGTTAGCTAGCAGTAAATAGGTACCTGGGAGTTAGACAGCTGCTACGGGCTGCTTCCTGGGGGGGGGG